AATCAATAGGTCATTTTTTTTTTCAAATTAAACATAGTTCAATTATAGTAAAACTAAATTTAAATAGAAACATGTGTTTTCTAGCCAGTGGCATTGAGAAATTCTCTTTTGTCAAAGGAGTACAAATACCAAATACTTTGACATTCTGTAAGATAATTTGAAGTCCAGTACATGACTAATGAATATCCTTGAAAATTTTGAATTTTTGCAGCACACAGTTTTGGATAAATAGATTGGGCTACTTCATAATTGTCCTACAGTTGTCAACTCTCTCCCCATGTCACCTAACATGATTCCCAATGAAAATTTATGGAGATGTTTGGATTGGAGTCTGAAATAGTAGTAAAAAATCAAAATAAACTGAAAGAAATAAAACTATTCAGTTCAATGCCTGAGACTCTTGGGTGTTGTATGTGACTTTTAAAAATAGAAGTTTTAAAAGGAAATATTAAACTAATAAGAAATAAGGCAGATAAAATAAGTATGAAATTTTGATTAATTAGTTGTTTTTTTATTAGCAGTGAAAACTTTTGTGAGTCAGATTTTGTTTAATTGTTGATAAATATTTATTTAAAATATAACCTTTATAGTCTTTCTCATTATTACGGTTTATTTCATTATATGTTCCATTTTCTCAAAAACAATTAATATAAAGAACTTTTTCGGGCTCAATAATTATTTTAAAATAATTTTTTTTTTTATAGCCAAAATCTTTTATAGACACTGTATACAAAGAAAACAACATGTAGCTGTTCATGGTTCCGATTTTTTTTTTTTAATAAAAAAAATAAATAAAATACTGAAGACTAGAACAAAAAAATTTACAAGATTTTTTTAAAGGTCTCTGCTCTTATATGTGAAATCTCATAATAATAAAAAATATTAAATTAAATTTACAAATAACATAAAAAAGACTCTAGCAATGCCTATTTTCGTTTACAAAAAAAAAAAAAAAAAAATTACGATGAAATTATTTCAAGCAAGAGAAAATTGATAATGAACATATTAAAAATAAATATATATGTGATTTCAAAATTTGTGTCCACTTTAACTAAAATTTTCTTTTATAAGTTTTAATGTATTGTCCTTTATAAATACTTTGTCATGACATATTTATCATGACTTTATAAATGCCATCAAATAAAAATAAACAGCATTCCAATAAAAGTTAGAGTAAGAACTTTACTTTCTTAACAAGAACAAAGTAAACATCTATCAATTAAAAAACTTTCCTTTTGCCTCAAAATGTGCACCTAAAAAGGGGTTGTATAAAAATATTTTTCAGAGCCTCTTAGGGCTAATAACAGCACCTCACATAAAAGGCCAACTGCCTCCATTCATTATGCCTTTTTATAAATCCTACTCATTTTAAAAACTATTTGGCTTATTTGGCAGTTTAATTTTTTAAATTCTATTTTACAAATATTATACTAACAACAATAACCATTCTTACAATATATAATTTATATATAACAAAATACACCGTATATTATAATGAATAATTTACAAGATACCACGCTATTGTCTCTCACACGTCATGATTATCTTTGGTATTCAAAGGTTTCTCTGAACAGTATGAAAGTCACAATACAAAATAAAATAAAGTTATAAATAAATTAAAAGAGTATTCTCCCAAATGAATATTAAAAAGTAATATAAATATAAAAAGTAGTCTAAAACTGTTAACATAAAAGGTAAATTTAATTTTAATTTTTTAATCCTCGTTCGAGCGAAACTCATCTGTAAGACTAAAAATTGAATTTCTGAGTAGGCTTGGGGCAAAAATTAACATACTGAACTATTAACTTAAAAATGATTGTATTGAGGTTTTAAAATAACATTTTTATATAATCATCTAATCAATTAACATAACAAAAGGGTCTAAGAAGAGCTATAAATAAATATAAATAAATTACTATAAATTATAATAGTAATTAAAAAAAAGTAATATAATTAAAATAACTTTTAAAATTAAGTTTCGAAGCAACCATACAACATACTGATGTTGGGTAAAACCTACTCTTAGGCAAACAAAAAACTACGTACTTCATCTCACAGACTAGGCACGCACGACTGAAGATTAAAATTTAGACAACATATAAAAATACTAATATATACTTTTAAATTGATCCTAAGAGTCAATTTATCACTATAACCATGTCTGTAAATTTAGAAAATCTATCTATTTAACAATTTCTGAATAAGCACATTGTGATAGATCATAAATTAATTGAATTGTTATTATAAATTAGTTTTCCATAAAAGCACATGAAAGTTTTGATTGTTTAACAGAATGCATTTTATATAAAGACAAGCCAGTATTTAAAGATGCTGTGTTCGAAAATGGTGATTTCAAGAAAATCTTTACTGATGTTTCAAATTTAAATAACTATGCTTCCCAATGTCATTAAATACTTTTCAAACTAAGATTTGCACTTTATTCTAAAAATGAGGTGGTTCAATTGTTCATTCCAACTTGACATAAATAACATGAAAATATTTGTTCTCAGATTCTAAAGAAATTTAAAACTGTTATCCTGGTATTCAAATTTTTTGAAGATAAAATATTGCATAGTAATAATTATAGTTATTGCTCATTAATTCTACAAAGTAAGTAGACATTTTTTAATTTCAAACATTAAAAAAAATATCAGAAAATATGGCATATTAGTTTCATTACTAAATCCATTTACAGTGGGTCATTAGCAGAGATTGGTTCTTCTGCCATAAATGGAATGTATGCATATATACACTTTTTTTTAACTTGAAAGAATTTCACATGTTGAATGTATCATGCATTCAAATGTCATAAATAAGTATTTTAAAATTATTATAAACTGAAAATGACCCACCATATGAATTCAAAGATACTTCCGGTAATAAGATTTACAATAAACTTAAATGTTTTTTCTATCGTTAAAATGACATGGAAGAGCCATTAAATATAATACAAGAAACAATAATCTAAGTTCAGGAACTGTAAACAAAGTAATCAGTAGATCCATGTATCAATTCCCAGTTACGAATACTTGTGCAAACCGAACATCTGTTAGTTTTTGCTTTCTGTTAGCACATCCAATTCCCAATCATAATTATATCACTATCCAACTATGTGATTTTAATTGAGATATAATGGTTAAATGAGGTTTGGTAAACAATAGTGCTTCTAGCCTTTAATTTTTAATAAATAAAATTGACAACATAATCACAATGTGCTTGGTGAAAAAAACTCTCTAAAGAAATGATTTAAATAAGTGTATTCGAGATAACAGTTAATAAATAGACAAGCAATATTTAATAGATTTAAAAAAAAATTAATTTAAAAGAAAAAATACACAATAAAAAGCATTATAATTTTCTTCGGATAATAATACCTTGCCTATATAACTTCAATCATTATTAATAGAAAAATTGTTTAAAAAAAATTATTTCAATAACAATTCATAAAAAATCTATTCTAAGCCATTCATGCATGCAACCAAATATTTTATCAGTCTTAAGAGACATAAAAATTATACTACAAGTCAATTTAGATAGATAATTAACCTATAAATTACAGAATGTATCATTACTAAACATTTATGTACAATAAACTTTTGTATAGATTTGAAAAGTTTTATCAAATTAAAAATTGTGTGAATTCAAAACCTCCATTATTATTTAATTAAAGACTGAATGATATTCGAAATCTAGCGAAAATCATAAAAACCACTCTCTTGAAGGAAAATACAGTTAACTTATAAATATAGATAATTTTTCAAAAAATTTTTGTTATAATACCAAAAGTTATTAAACAAAAAATGTGGAATCCATTATGCCTGAGTGAGTAGTGACATTTATACTTTTCAACTATGAATAGAAAAGGTTGGTAACCTGTAGATTAACCTATCTTTTCTGTCGTAATTATAATGCATAAAGACATTAAACAAATGGTTTATATGGTTCTCATTAAATAGCTGGTGTAATTCAATTAAAATGCAATAATCGCTTATTCATTGTTTTTTAAAATTCAATTTATATTATAAGTTGTTTATTTTACTAGAACTTACTGTTTATATATCACCATGAAAAAAAGAGAGACAAAATATCTATGATGAAAATAAATAATTAACAACAACAAAACAGATGAGACATTATGCAAAAATAAAGTAGCCTTTACTTGGTTCAAGGATTGTTGGAGTTGGATTGGGTATTCATGCAATTTTTCTGAAATTGATCTGAAAAATGTGATGGCCAATTTGTTGCTCAAAATCAATTGTTATAAAACACTTTAGAAATATCAAAAATCAACTAATCTAGTAGAAATTGTACAATGTTCAGTAATGTTACCACTTCTGGATAGAACTATCTGCTTTTAAGATTTAACAAATAAAGTTCTATTAAGTTATAATAATTAGGAAATTATATTATACCTATTCATATGAATATTTAGTGGCCATATTGATGATTAAGAAAATAATATATTTTGTAACAGTTGAGAAAGATAAAACATTTTTGAATTTTTGTATAAAATTTTTCCGAAAATTATGAAATTCAGATTTTAATTTGTTAATAATAGTTCAAAACTAATGTTAAAAATTCTATTTTTATCACACTAAATATCAAATCAACAAAAATTTAATTTATTTGACTCTGTATTTGTATAGAAATTTATTTTTTTATCCAACTTGACTTTTTTTTTTTTTACCACTTTTCCTTTAAAAGTTACAGAACCAATGGTTTTGCTTTTAATGCATTAATTTTTTTTAATTTTATCAAACAGTCACAAACTTAAAAGAAAATATTAAATTCACACAAATTTTAGTAAATATTACAAGTAAGTATCCTCAAATACATCAGTATTTCAAAATAAACTTGTTCTGATCAGTCATTCATAAAAAAAATAATAAGAAGAAACCATTTACAAAAATTAATTGCAAAAAGTATAGGTAAGTGACAAGAATATTTAAAAAATATAGATATACATATATAATAATTTGAGAAACATGAACTCATGACTTTCATACAGAGGCTTCATCAATGACAGTGATGACTCTGTTGGGAGCACCCGGTATCAGTCGCCACTTACCAGGTTTGGAAGACGCATTTTCCTCTTCCGAGTGCTTGGCTAATGACCAGCGTCTTCCTTTTCTGTCCATAATGACAGGCATCTCAGCGATAAGATTGTTCTCGAACTCGCTAAGCATCAGATAGTTCTCAACTTTGTTGCATGACGTAATACAGTCTCCAATAAGATCCAGGTCATCCAGGATGTTGTCTGGAAGATCCATGTCGGCAATGCCCTCCTCAGATATACATGTGAGCTCTGGCTTAGGACCTCCGCCACCACCTGCTGCCGCAGGCTCCACAACAACCTTAACAGCATGAATTAAAAATTATAGCATTTAGACAAAACATTTTACAAAAAAAAAAAAAAAAAAAAAAATGAACAAATAAATCAAGTTCTTTAAAATATCAGAGACAGTTATTGTGTTACATATACAAAAATTTGTTATTATGTTGCCCTAGCAAACATTCACCAACTTCTTATAATAATTGTCTGATAAAAATATAATCTTCAATAGTCATTACTAAAATAAAAGAAACAATATAGGTGCTAGAAAATCACACCTACTTATGGTAAAAAAAGTTTGGATTGTGTTATACACAGTTTAATTTATATAAAATTAAGTAATTTTAAAGTAATCTCCCCTAATAAATTATTAAAACTGAGATCTGAGAGTTTTACATAATTTTTGGTGTCTGATATAAACTAATGATTAACCATTGGGCAAATGCTTGAGATGTAGATAGAGGTATGTAGATAAATGGGTTTAATTTAATAATTAAATTCAGTAAAAAGTACAGATCCCAAATTTATATTTAAGATTTATTTTTTATTTGTATTATAATACAACTTTTTTTTTTGTATTGATTGATTATATATATTTTTATCTTATAATTTAATATTAATGTAATTTGTTTGGTGTTATTTTATTGATTTTTTAACAAAAAAATTAAATAAATTCATTGAAACCAAAAAGCAATGGATACAAGATGTGAAATAAATGATATATGATAAACATATTTCAACTAGCAATATTTTTATAAAACTCATAAATAAAAAAAGTATTAAGTAAAGGGAAAAAAAAATTTAAATGCATGGTAATGATTATTTTGTCAGACATGGATTGAGTAGTATGCCGTGCTTTGTAGTAATGAAATTTCAATTTTACTTGAAAAAACTAACTTCAAGTAACCATTATTACTTTAACTGTTAGTGCAATAGAATCCTCCCCTCTCTCTCCCCCCCAAAAACAAATTAAGTTTTTAACTCATAGTTATGAATATCATTATTTTATAGGAAAATATTCACAGAAACATAGAAAACTTTTTAAAAAATACTACATAGTAAGTTAATTGAGTAATTAACCATATGCTCTGAATCTTGGAATTATTGTCGAACAGGAAGTGATCCTTCATTTCATTTAATTTTATTTTTTTATGTGACAAGAATGTGAAAATGTAAATTGTAATTGTTTAAACTACAAGATGTCTAATAAGAATCTTAATATATAATAATAACAAAATTTTAATTTATTAATTCCAATAATTCATAAATTGTTAGAAATTATAATTATTAGTTATTTATCAAAATTGCCTAACATCAGATTTTGGTGCCCAAACAGGGACAAACAAACATCTTTATATTGATCATCAATAGCTATTTTCAATTTTTTTTTTAAAGGTGTTTGAAGAAAATTTGTAAATAATCTGCACACAAATTAATTGAGGCAATTTTAAGGAGAAGGTTGGTGTTTTGGCAGCTTAAGTTCACAAGATCATGAGGACAAAAACAAGAGGTTATTATAGATATAAATTTTTCTCTCTCATTATTTAATTTAATTTCTTCTTGTCTTCAAAGAGTTCCAGAAAATAATTCGACTTACAAGAACCGAAGGAATAATATTATCATAACAAACATTAGTGCCGGCTTTAGGGTGGGACAACCAGGGCAATCCCTCCAGGGCACTGATTGATCTTTAGGGGCATTTGCCACTTGTTAGAAATAAAAAAAAAACTACAAAAATATTAAAACAATTAATTTTAGCCAATTAATAAAATAACTGTATTATAGAAATGTTGAATGAAATAAAATTCAAATATTACATAATATAAAACAGTTTAAGAAATAAATTATTTTTTTTAGGGGAAGGGAAGATGACGTCATTGCACAGGGAGTGCCTAATGTCTAAGGCCGGCACTGCAACACATTGAACTACAACTTGACCAAAAATTAAAGACCATCCCCACTCCTCCACTCTATTCCTGTTCTTCCTTTGTTCCTCCAATTGACCATCAATTTTGTCGCTGCATGGTAACACCAAACATCTCAGTCTGTAAGCAATGTGCTTTTACAGAACTGCACAAATTTGATTAAGAATGTAATTAAAAAAACTATTGAGTATACCAATATATTGAGAAAATAAAAATCATATGTAGGTACTGACTGCTCACTAAGATATTGAAAAAAATAAAATAAATTTTTTTCAGTTTTATAATTATATTTTTCCACAATGCCATTAAGATTGTTTGAAAAAAGTTTAAAACTATGCTGGGCATACTTTTTATTATAATTAATCATACTTTTGCAACCTTTTTGGATTCATTAATTACGAAGAAAAGGAGTAAAATACAATGATTGGTAATCGAGCTTACAAGTTCTTCTGGTTCAGCAGTGAATGAAGGCCTCCTGCGCTGGGGGCACACCTCAGACTCACAGTTCTTATCTACACCAACATGTTTATGATGTGCCCTCCTCCTGTGGCAATCAATAAGAAACAATGCTAAACTTCCCAAAAATACGCAAGTGGCACTGAAGTAATAGCCAGACTTTCCTCCATATTCTACGTTGATGTAACCTAAAAGATTAAAGTAAAATCCAATAACTGATTACTATGAATTAATCATATTAAAAAAAAATTCTTTAACATAAAACAGAAAAACTTTTATATTAGAAACAGTACAACATAAACTGAAACACATTAACAATAAAATACTAATAAATAATGAATAGTTAAGGTGGTATTAAATTATATTACAAGAGGAAGAAAAAGTGTATAAGAACATTACAGGAATGATAGTATTTAATAAGAATTTTATTATTGATGTTATTTTTGTTGGGATTGCAGCATGGCATGGTTTTTATAAACCCATGAATGGTTTGGAGCCCTTTAGAGGAAATAGGATATTATTAGTGTAAATAAATAGATGACAATTGGTAAATAATAATATATTTACCTGTAATAGGAACTCCCAATGCTATTGGTATTGACTGTGAAAACTGTACAAATCCCCACGTCCTTGCAAAGTTTCTTGCCCGAACTCGTTCATAAGTATACACTTTAAGAGTGTAGTGGTATCCTCCACAGAAGATTCCATAAATCCATGTGAAGAATATGTATCCTTGCTTACTATGTGATAGTGTAGTAAGAGCTAATATCGCCAGCCCGCAGATGAATATAGCAACCTGAGCTAAGTATTGCCTAGCAATCCTGCACTCAGCAGAATTGTTTATCACTAAACATCCAAATCCTAGGCAGCCTAGGACCCACCCAAGACCAAGATAACCTTGGAGCAGGAGAACTGAATCTTCCAAACCCTCATCTTCAACATGATGGGCCTAGAAACAATAAGTCATTAAAAATAAATAAAAAATAGAATAATATATAATGGGATTTAAAAATATAATATATATATATATATATATATATATATATATATATATATATATATATATATATATATAATATATATATATATATATATATATATATATATATATATATATATATATCAGCTCTAATAGAAATTATTTGGCATTATTATTATTGTTTGAATATGAGAAAAAAAGGAAGGTATAAAAAGATTGAAATTATTAAAATTGAAAGAATTAAGCTGATATTGAAGTTAAAATATACTATTATTTGTGGGTAATTGGACTTGAAAGATTTCAATAACTCAATAGAAAAAATAGTGGGAAGTGCCTCAGATCAAGTTGATATCTTTTCTACACATTTTGAGTTAAGTTTATATTTTTATTTTGAATTAACTTTGTATTTTCACAAGATTGTAAAAAAAAAAAATCACAAAACATGTTCGTTACTATGAATTTTTTTCATGGTTATTAATTACAAAAATTCTGCTGCACAATGTGTCTTAGGGTCATTAAAATCAGGAATTTTGTTTAAAAAAATTAACCAGCATTTAAGCTTTTTGTAGCTAATAAATAAATTTTGAATTCTGAAAGTATTGGCAATAAAAACCGAAACTTGTGTAGGAATATGAATATAAGACAGTTGATAAGGATTCCTTTATACTTTTCAACTATTATTCTGTATTTACTTAACAATATATGTAATATATTCAAATTGGCAAATTGATATTTATCATACTTTTTAACAATATATTTTTGTTTTTATATAACACCATGAAAAATAAAGCAGATCTAAAAAGAATTGAAATATCATACACACCAAATAAAATATAGGAGTGTTGATGCCAAAGGCACTGAGGCCTGTTGAAAGAAGCAATATTCGTACAGTTTTGCTCTTGAGTGTACCAAAGTCAATGAAGGGGGGCCCATCATCAACTTTGTTTTTGTCTTTGATCTTTCTCTTCTGATTCTTGAGATGGAGAATAGCTCGACGTTGTGGATGGTAGAGTGATGCTGAACGATAGAATGTACCAAGGAAGAAGGTCATGAAAACAGTCACTGTGACTGTCTGGAGACCAAATCGCCATCCGATCGCACTTTAAAGAAAACAATCATTTCTAGTAATAGTATAAAATTCCTACTTTCCTTATATTGAGGGTTAAATAAATAAAATTCCTAATAGATAATGAATAAATAACATAATTCATAAATAACATAGTATTATAAAAAAAGTTCAATGTTCAATTAAAAGAATTTTTTTTTTACAATTTAAATTACAATATTTACTAATTAAGCCAAACATTGAAATTAAAATATTTCAATAAATAACTAACATGGATTATGTTGCAATTATATTTCAATGATTTGTATGTGTAACAAGATATTTATAATTTCCTACTGAGTAATAGAAGGAAAATTTAGTGTTCTGAAAATAATAATAATTATTATTATTAAAACTCATTTATTCAGAAATATTACAATTTGTCACAGTTTAAGGACACTTATAATAGAGTTCAGAGATTGCATTCATACCGTCTGGAAATAATAGATTTTTAATATTTTCTTTTGTTTTAAATAGTCAGAACAGTTTTTCTATGGCCTTGTGTTAAAAAATAACTTAACAAAGTTACTTTTCTGTACCTAGAAATCCATTAGAAACTAGTAAAAGTGAATCACCAGTCTAGCTAAATATTAAAAATTTACAGAGGTGTTAATGGCTCTTTATTCTTACTACATGTATTAAATAAATTAATCAGAAGGGCAAATTTATAAGAAAAGTTATTTATTTAAATTACAGATTTAATTTGATAAAAAAATGTCATTTTTTTTTAATGTTCACTCATGAATAAATAGAAAATAATAAAACATTAGAAGGATATTTAGAGAGTAAAATATTATGGATACGGGAAGAAAATGGAAATAATGATACACGAGCCAAGTGGTAGTAAATTAAAATGATTTCGTTTTTAAAAACATTGCAATTAATATTATATAAAAGAAAATTTAGCTGAACTAATAATTAATTACAAATGTAACAGGGAAAGTAATACATAATAAAACAATTATTTTTTATCTACATACCCAATCGCTGATTTGATGAAGAAGGACATCACTGCGATGCCAAGTCCACTTCCAGACACAATAAATATTTCTACGAGTTCCCGCCTTCTTTTGAAGTATTGGGCAACCATCAGTGTGGAGCAGTCTCGGGTCATGGATACTCCAATACCTTCAAAATTTAAAAATTAATATGATATATTTTTCCAATTTAATTTTGAACATTTGTTATATAAATTGATGACTTGAGCACTTTAATAATTGATTTCTCGAACACTTTTTGTTGTTGATGTTTGGTTTTGTAGTTTAGATGCAAAAGATCAAGGATCATGGGCGTACACAGGGGAAGGCCGTTGCTCTCCGTAAATAGTTTGAAAAAACAACAACAACATAATATAACACAAAAGGTTTGTCTAAAATTTGAGAAAATGAACTTTTACAAATTGTTGTTCTATGTAGGTATATACTGTATTGTATATAAAACTATTTATTAATTGTAATAAAAGTTTTTTCTCCAATAAAAACTTTTCCGTCTTGTCCTACCCTAATATGATGAAAACTGTGTACACCCTTGTCAAGGTTTTATTGGTCAAATCGGAGTAGGCGATAAACCTGTACCATCAAAAGCCATAAAGGTTCTTGGGTGCAGTACTATGTTGAGAAGTACTCTTTCTAGGTCAACGATTGAGCAAGGAGGTGATTTGACCAAGAACACGCCCAACAGCCAGGTTTTTCCTCTTAATTAATTAATCAAGATTATCCACTTTATAGAGAGTCTGGGTATGCCCCAGGAGGTTCTCCTGACCCCAGGATAGATCAAGAGCCAATGAAACAATAAATGATTGATCTTAAAGCCTTGGAAGTCAGTGTCCAATCCACTACCTAGAGTAGGTGATAAACGATGGTGAAATCAAGGAGAGATATTTAGTAAGATGGTTTGCTTGCATCCTATCTTAAAGGTGTCAGATGGCTTATAACACAAACATAAGAAAGTATATTCTATAATTGTACAGTTATTAATTAAGATATGCATTTTTAAGGGAACAGGCAAGGCAATAATTTAGTTGAAACTAGATGTTTCTTCAACTAATAGTCCAAGTTCATTGTCTAGGATTATTCTGGAGTAAACATTTCAATTAATTGGTGACAATATAAATTTGAAGAGTAGTATGAGCAGATATCTCTATTGTAAATATGTAACATGAAAAGAATGAAGTTCCAACCATCAACCATATTGGTCAACCATCAACCAAAAAATTATGTTGGTTGATTTTTTTATTGGTTCAGAGTGAGTACATAGTAGATTTAATACTTTATATTAAAGAGTTTGAGTTTTCATTATATACTTGTTGTATATTTTATATTTTTTTAAATGAATATTTATTTATTTGATGTTTTGTTTCCTCTACTCTATAGGGTCATTGGCTACACCTTGAAATTACACTCTGTTGTAGAGTTTTATCTCTTTCAAAGAAACCTTAAGGTTTTTTTGACTGCACTTTCACTGTCTTGTAGATTTCGTTTTAGACTCTGTGCCATGTCTAATTTTTTCCTTGTAGGTTCAAATCTAGGGCAGTCTTGAATAACATCCTTTACTGTGCTTTGGACATTGCAGCTCTCGCAGGTCGGAGGATCAATATTTTTATTGATTTACATATTACATATTTAGATTCATATCTTATCGTTGGTAAAAAAAATCATTAAGTATTATTTCTTAAAGATAAATTACCTAGTGTTTTGACGAATTTTTGTTCTGTGGAATATTGTGAACTTACAAGGGGAATAATAGATATTTACTGCTGTCTAAGGACTATGTCCCTTAGTCCAATTTGTTGAAATATTGTACTCATCCTTTAGTTATCTGTGAGATATATTTTTTTAAGTGCCAATCATATGATAAAAAGAGATCTGAACCTCGAACTAATCAATTAACCTCCAGTTCAGGATTCTATTGCGCACAAATTACCTGACATATTATTATGATTAATAAATCACCCATGGATAGTTAGTTATAGTCAGCTCACCCAATACGGCCCCGTAGCTGATGAAGACCTGGTGGAACTGGGTTGCGAAGGAGGTGAAGAGGACCCCGAGCGCTGTGACCAGGCCGCCCATCACCGCCGTCAGCCGCGTCGACTTCTTCCTGCAGAAGGCGATCGTCACCGGCGACACGAAGAGAGCCACCGCCGTGGACATGGCGCCCACCCAGGCTGCAACACAAGCACAGAAATTAGTTTACAAGAACCTATAGATCAAAATGTTATTGAATGGTGAATATATATATTAGTGTATGTGAATATGGAAGTTCTCACAAGAAACAAACACCAGAGCTTGTAAATATTCACAATTTGAATTGTTGTTTTGGTGTGAGTTTGGGTATACTCTTCAGTAACAGAATCACAGGCACTGGCCTAACTAATAATTTAAAAACTTGGTACAAATTTTTTAACTTATTTGCAGATAACACTCCGTTATAATGTCTATCCTAAAGCCTACTCCACACTAGTAGACATGTTGCGTGATTTACATCTCTGAAACATGTCTCAGTTTGTCTACATAGAATAGAATAGAACAGAAAATAATTTTATTCTGGGACGAAGTCCCATCAGAATAACAAAAAAATTACAAAATTAAAATGTTGTATCTGGCCAAATAAAAACAAACATAAAAAGTAAAAGTAAAGCTAAATCAGTAAAGAAAACATTAATTTTACATACTATATACAAAATAAAACTAAAAAAAACAAAATCTATATACAAAACTCTTGAACCTTGCCAATACACTTAAAACTGTACAATTGTAAAATATAAATATATACCTTTAGAAAAAAAAAAAGTCGAATCTGCTAATAAGTATTTCAGTTATGAGCTATATGTAAATACAATATTATGAATAATATGTAGTTTTTCATACACGGTTAGCGGGTATCTGACTGTTTTTGGGACAGGAATAGGAGGGTTTTGAATGTAGACAGGGATGAAGAATGCCGAATTTTTATAGGAAGGGAATTCCAAAATTTAACAGAGCGAGCTATGAAGGAGTTTTGGAACGAGGCAGATCTGTGAGAAGGAATGTAAAGGTCGGAAGGTCGAGATCTTGTGGAAAGGGAGTGGACTGAGGATTTGAATTGGAGAAGGTTGTAGGCGTAAGAAAGACGATGATTGTTGATGAATGTACCTAGGAAATATTGTCTTCGAATGGAGGGGAAGAGCCACTCTAACTCAGTATAGTGGTGAGAGACATGGTAGTATCTCGGGGCACCAATTACAAATCTCACGCGACTGTTCATTAATCTTTTCTTATACATACATAATACATAGATATGTCTATAGACCAATTCTCGTCAACAGGCCTGTTGCAAGACAAAAAATCGCTGGTCTAAAGTCTCCCAAACGGAATGGTAGAAATTATGCAATGTTAAACATACCGCGCAACATTTTGACAGAGTGGACGTCACTCCGCGTCTAGAGGCGAAACACGTCTCAGTCTGCCTCCAGCTGACGAGTGATTGGTTTGGCTGTTTACAATTATTTTTCAACGTTTTACAGTTCTTTTCAAAACTTATGATCTGACGAGAAAGTTTTAGATCTAATTGAATTGGCGTCTCTCAGTCTTAATTTATTAGTAGTGCATTACCGAACCTAGGTCCTTCTGCGAGCGCTTTGCGCATCCACCAATATTTACATTTTCGTGTTCTTTCATTAGTAATTAGTACTAAGCAGGAACTCATTCCACACAAAGCTAGACGAGATAAAAAATGGTGTTGGTGTCTCGAGACCGTCTCTGGACGATCTATAGACAAATCGTACCACAATATCTACTAGTGAACTAGCGGATCCAGGATTTAATTTTGGGGAGGCTTCAGCCCAAAAGATTTTTTTTTTCAAATATAAAACGATAATTAATTTTTTGAAAAAAGAAAGAAAAAAATTAACTACCTATAGGAAATGTTGTTTCAGTGATTCTTGAAGTCCAATTAAATGTAATTACACGAACAATAAAACTTTAAGAGATATTTTTTTTCGATAAAACATGGTTATATTTTACCTTTTTTGGGGGGGGGGGGGGCGCTTCAGCCCCAAAGCTCCCTCCCCCCCCTAGATTCGCCCGTGCTCCTCAGCAATAAAACATCCAGATATATGTTAGAATAATATTTTTGTATTTTTGAGCTGTCAGCTTCTTTTTAGTGTACATTGCTTATTAGTACAAATATGTGGACATACTCATAAATATTTATCTATAATTTCAAATGTTTATTAACGCTTTTCTTTTCATTTTTAGGGTTAGATAATTATTTAACTTAATCAATTCTTGATTGTTTTCTAATGATAGACAAATATCTCTTCATTGCTCATTATAATAATTCTTATGGGACTATATATTCCAGAATAAAATTTCCTTTTTCTTCATTCTTTCTTCCTTTCATATAGCAATAGTTACAAGATTATTTTCATTATAATGAAGTAGTAAATGGTTACTAAAATATTAATTATTGACCGGTCTCCTTTGTATAATTTTTTTAATATGAACGTTTTTAGGCCTCTTATTGGATTCTTAAAGATTGGATATGTATCAGTTCGGTCATAAGATATCACAGTGCCTCCTTAATTAAGCACAGTAGGAAGACCATAGGCTACCTAGAAGAGCTTTATCTAAGCGCTTCGAAGTCGAGTCACGTCCAGAGGAAGAAGGAACTGACAGGGGAGTTATTTAGCAGCGGAGTGATACTGTATTTATGGGCCTCCATTGTGCCCATTCTTTGCGTGGCGATACAGAGGCACTCTGATGACAGCTGGCAGGCTGGACAGCGGGAGAGCTCTCGTGTGATCTGCAGCAGCTTCCTCCTTTCCTCAGGGGTACTTAAGTTCGCCAAACTTTTTATTTTACAATAAAAATAAATAAATATAGTTCATATTTTAGCAAGCCGATTGACATGTAAAAGGATCAGATAGCTCAGTAAATAAGGCACTGGCAACCAAGGATCAAGTTCTCGGGTTCAAGTCCGGCCGTGGCAGGTAATTATTTTATCTGTTAAATCAGGCTTTGGTCAATCTTGGTATCAGGAGGCTATTCTGAGGCCTCTGTAAAATGGGTACTCTTAATTAAGTAATTAACTAAGGAGGGAAACCTAACTAACTACAGCCTATCCAAAAAAAAAAAAAATTGTAGATGACGTGATGATTTTTCGACCGAAATCTTTTTTAATTAAAAATTTTTTTTAATGTTTGATTCAAGGAAGAGAAGGATAAATGCAACTCCCATCTCTAATATAAGGTGTCTTTTATTATTATCTACATTAACCTAGTGTTTTTACATTAACTTATATACAAAACAATAGCTTTTTAATGTTTCTTGATGTTCTTGATTTGAAAACGACTTTATATTTACATAAATCACTGCTTCAAAACGAGAAGCCTGAAGCTTATCTGTCTTTAGTCAAATCTAGATAGCATACATTCATATACAAAAGCTTGAGGATGCAACTCTCCCAGGAAGTCTTGAAAAACTGATTACTTAGGATGCTGAACTCTGGTATTAGTTAACATTTGTGATGAAGGTAACATTAAATACGATACTTATAATAATAATAGTCTTTATTTATGTACATATATGCATTTACAATAACAGTATTTACATTTATATTTTCATCTACTTTTTCTTCATATACATGTATATAGACCTTCCTTATTAAATCAGTATTAAAGTCTTTAACGGGGACTATCCGTACCTTGGTTCGCTGGGAGTTCACTTATCTTCATCTTCTAGTAGTTTCTGTCCTTTGCTTTTAGTGACCACTGCGTTCCTTCTAACTTCTTTATCTCATCTTATCCATCTTCTTCTTTGTCTGACACGGTTTCTCATTTCATATCCACTCTGTTAATTTCTTGGCTCAGTTTTCCTCGTTCTTCCTTATTAGATGTCCAGCTCATTGCCATTTCATATTCTCGACATGGCTGATTACATCTGTGACTCCGGTATCTTTCCTTATTGATAGGCTACTAAGATTTTGGCTTCTTCTTGTGCCTCGCATGCTCCTCTCCATTGCTCTTTGGCATGTTTGAATTTTTTTCTCATGGCGCTTGTTGAGGGATCATGTTTCGTATCCATAAGACATCACAAATACGAAACTTATAGTTTGCAATAAATATAGTTATTTATTGCAAACTATAAGAACATTTTTTTAAAAATTTAAGTTAATTGTGGATAATACCGTTAGATTCGTTTTATCTATCTAAACAATTTACGGTTACCGATTCAGTCGTCAACACACCATTACTTTGACTTAATTTATGATGTGTGGGTTACGCAATCATATCCGAACATTTTCGTAAAAAAAAAAAATAATAAGTTATTAAAAAAATAATACGGTTTGCAGTCGATGTAACTACATGTATTTTTTGTTAACATTGTAAATAACGCTTCCTCATTTTTATCCTTTAAGTCGTATAGGCAGTCATAAATTTTGAAATAAAACTCATCAACTTTATATTACGTAATATAGTGTTTTAACTTTTTTAGATAACTGACTTTTTTGAAAAATATTTATTTTTACAAAATGTGGCACTGTGGATAAATAGAAATTCGAAACTGGCAACAGCTACTTCAAATCATTTATCTTTTCACTTTCCACAACTTCTTGAAATTTCAGAAACTTCTATTGGATGGAGAATTAGTTCTCCTCAGGGCTCACACATTCTTAGACCGGGACCCCCATATGATAAATCCCATAACCATACAGTAGTCCCGAATCCTGCCTGGGATCTACACTTGCCGCGTACGACACTAAATTGCCCCTGAATGACGAGATTATTATTAACCCAAATGGGATCCGAGCTGATTGCCGCTAGCATTAGAAGAGATATATTGGCAAGGATTGGCAGATACCATTAGAAGGAACAAATAGACAGGACCTGTCCGCTCCTAGAGACGAAGATTTACATACAGTGTCCTTCTCCTTTCTCCTCCTATTATCCACGTCGTATTCTGTCAGGCAGTCCGTCTTTGTCACAAGAGAGAGAGAGATGAGGGTCTCGAAGAAGACAATTAGCGAACAAAAATGCGTGATCATTTTTTATTACAGTAAATTATAATAATAACTTTATTAATTGAAAATTTTACAAATACATTTTGGCGTATTTTGTAAATGTAATATTCTTCTGGGGGATTTACGAGAACACTTGATTGGAGAAACCTCC